TAAACATGCAAATACATTAGAAATTAGCATATAAAGTTATACCACTCAAAAACAGAATAAAACATTTATTCAATACTGAGTGAGATGTCAGTCAATTCAAAATCGGCCTGTTTATACTATCTTAGTGACACTTCAGTAATACTAAAAGGTCATCTTTTATTTTTAAAGAATTATTTAATTTTATTTATTATTATTATTATTATTATTTTAAAATTTGCTATAGGGCACATATACTCACGAGAGGGAGTCAAAGAAAAGGAAGGAAAGTGAGAAAGCAAGCCACCACGTCTGGGACTTGAAAACAGTTGGCCCTGTGAGAGTCCAGTACCTAAACCACCATGCCAACTGCTGGCCCCAGAAAGGGTCATCTTTACATTTAAAAAAACATACAAAACTATCCTGTGCTTTAAATACTGAAATATGGCCTGAATTTAAAGCTCTAAAATTTTCAGTCAATGTTTTAAGGCATTTTATGTACTTTTTATGAATTAGAACTACATCATAAGAACTTCAAATTAGAACTTTAATTTGTGTTCTAAATCATTATGATGTAGGAAAAAGTATGTATTGCTCACATATTCTGTACAACCAAACTTCTTAAATAATAGAATTCTTTGAAATTAAAGTTATGGTGCAATATGAATAATGTTAACTCATATTGTGACAATTTTGATAAAACACACACTTGTTTCATGTATTTCATAGTATCACTACAGAACCATCAGATCTTCAATTTTTTATTTTAAGAGAAAGTTTTGCCACAGGGCTTGTGTGCTCACCAGAGAGACAGAAAGAGACAGAGAGACAGAAAGCAAAAACTTATACCCTAGGGGGGATGGCCACACTGCAATCCCTTCTCCTTCATTCTCCTCTCAGGTTTTTGGGTACGCATGCACACACAAACGGTGTGGATTTTAAACCATCAGGTCTGGGAATTGAACCGTGGTTGACTACGTGAGAGTCCACCGATGTAACCATTATACCATCTGATGGCCCCAGATCTTTAACTTTTAAAATATTTTTGCATAAAAAAAAAACATTTAAGAAAACCAACTCTAATGTTGAACAAGGTAATCTATCACATTTATTCCTCTCTCAATATTTGATACATATTTTTTAATTGTCAGAGGACGTGTGTGCTCACTGGAGAGAAGAGAGACAGAGAAAGGGAAAGCACCTCTCAATGGGGAGTGGTCACTTCAATCCTTTCTACTCCATTTCTGTATCCTGTTGGAATTTGGGGCAGGTACAAACACAAACACACACACACACACTCATTCAGCATGTTTTTCAAATTATCAGGCTAGGATTCAGATTGTGGTAGGCCATGTGGGATCTGACTCCCTTAACTACTAGGCTACAGAGACAGCCTTTAAAACACTTTTACTAATATTTTTTTCTTTTAATTTTGCCAGAGGTTGCATGCACTCACTAGAGAGAGACAAGAGAGCGAGAAAGCAATAGCAGGGAAGTGAGAAAGCACCCCTCCATGGGAAATGATCACACCACAATCCCTTCTCTTCCATTTCTTCCTCCTTTCAGGATTCTGGGCATGTATGCACATGAACTCAAGTGTGTTTCTCAAGCTGCTGGGTCCAGGACTTGAATTGCACAGTTGGCATAAGGGATCCAGCTGCCTTAACCACCACGTCATGAGCTGGCCCTATACTAAATACTTGAAGTGCAATAAAAGTGCTAGGAAGAAACTGAATCACCACTAACACATGGTAGAGACAGGAAGATTTAAGTTCCCCTCTCACAACAAAGTTCACACTAGCCTCATACTAAATAAACTATTACTTCTTCTCCATGGTCGTCTATGTGGTCTGATACTTAAATTAGGAAGAATTACTTAGACAAACTGTAGTCAGGAATGGATGTATGCAATTTGAAAATGTTCCCTGACTGTGTTAATCCATTTGGCATGTGTATTGTGAGATCCTACTATAGCAGCTTATCCATAATAGCCAGGAGGAAAGAACCTAGAGAAACAAAATGTAATGTATATCTATACACTAGAATGCTATTCAGCCATAAAAAAAAAAAAAATGAAGTACTGCTACGTGCTATAATATGGATAAACCTTGAAAACATGATAAATGAAACAAATCACAAAAGATCACATATTATATGATTCCATTTACAATAAATGTCCACAATAGGCAAAGCTATATACAGAGTAAGTAGATTAGTAGTTGTTTAGGTCTTGGGCATAGGATAGGGAGACAAGGAGGTGATAGTTAAAGGATACTGGATTTCTTTTTGAGATGATGAAAATGTTCTAAAATGGACTCAAGTAATAGTTGCATATATGAGAGGGCTTCAAAACCTTGAGGGGAAATCCATATTTAAAAACTATGCACGGATTTCAAGTTTTTTTACACCAAAATAAAGTCATATTTTAATTCCATTTTTTTTCCACAAGCTTTTTGAAGTTTTCTGGTGTTTGTGAATGCTAAAACTAATAAATTGTATATTTTAAATAGGTGACCTGTATGATTTTTCATTGTATCACAATTACTGTTTGAAAAAAAACAATTCCTCAGATACCTCTGTAGCCATGAGCTACATCCATCCATATTTGCATTAAAGGTTTAAATTTCACTATCCTTCACTGATCCCAATAATGCACGAGAAGCAATCCTTCACACATCTACTTCTACAAGCAAACTTCAGATCTTTTCCAAGAAAAAATGCTATTTTATTGTAATTTTATATATTTCTTAACCATTTAACAAGTGTAAAACTGTGCTACTATTTTTATTAAGTTTCTATCTTCCTTTTATATGTCACTGATGAAGTTTTTGAGTGTTATGTCACTATCCCTATTTTTCTCATAAGCTCTGCAGTTTTTATTGCTTATTTTACACAGGACAGTGATTTTTAGGAACACATATGCCATGTAGAAGTAGTAGTAGTAGTTCTAACTGTAAAATAAGATAACAAAACTTCCTCTAAATACATCATTAGTTATTAGACACAAAATTCAAAACTATATCATTAATCTAAACCAATAAAAATTCAACTAGTTTTCACTGTTTAAAAATTTCAAACTGGGGCCAGCAGGTGGTGTGGTGGTTAAAGATGCTGGACTCCCACGTGGCCAACCACAAGTCCTGGACTTGGCAGGTTGCTTTCTCGCTTTCCCTCTCTGTCTTTCTCTGATCGAACTGGAAAATAATAATAATAAATAAAGTTAAATAAAATAATTCTTTGAAAAAATTTCAAACTAAAATGCTTGAAAGGTATTAATTCCATTTAGGATACTATTGTAACCATGTAAAAAAAACTTTTTAGGTGATACATTTCTGTGTTCTAGAGACTTCACAAATAGAAACTATTTAGAAAATGGTTCTAAAGGGGAAAAAACAGTACTAATTTTGAAAGGAAAAAGTAATTTATAGAGCCAAATTACCCATCTGCTCATTTGGGCTGTTCCTTTCCAAATCACACAAAATACTACCTTCATTTCAGTTTCTATGTTATCGTCATTTCCCTAGCATGACATATCCTTCTCTTTCTTTCTGGTCTCACCAAATCTTACACTCCTGATCCAAGTCAATCCCCTTTCCAGTTCCATTCTTCACTGGTCCCCCGACTCTTATGAGTTCCTACAGCATTTATTGTTTGATTTACACAATTTTTTTTTTGAGAGGTTTTTGCTATAGGACGTGTGCACTTGTCAGAAAGACAGAGAGAGACAGAGAGACAGAAAGCGAAAAAGCCCCCCCCGGGGAAATAGCCATGCCGCAATCCCTTCTCCTCCATTCTCCTCTCGGGATCTTGGACACGCACGCACATGTGCCCGGCGTGAGTTTAAGCCACCGGGTCTGGGACTCGAACTACAGTCGACTACATGGCAACATAGCCATTCCACCAACTGCTGGTCCCTGATTTACACAATTTTTGTTTGGTATTATTTGTTCATTTCATTCTTGTTCCTTGAACATACAAGTTCCTCAGGAAAAGAATCTTCCTAATACTTTGAAATATACATATTCATATGGCTTATCATAAACCGGAACACAGAGTAAATGTTCACAAAGCTTTTGTTGCTAGGTGATGAACAGTACAAAATTATGGGCACCAAATAATCACTGATTTTCTTAGTTAGAACTCAAACATTTCTGGTACATATGTCAATTCTTCATAAAGCAAAAATTTTAACTTAGTAGTGCTGAAAATACATATGGCCACTAAGAAAATGAAATCCTGTAAAACTTGCACTGATATCTAATTTAAAAAGGCTAAACAAGAAATTATCATTATTAAAGAAAACATTTTTAGATTGTGTGTCCCATTTCTACATTATAAAACGTATTTAAGCAATTTTATTTGTAGCAATTCTTTTCTTTTTCTTTTCTTTCTTTCTTTCTTTTTTTTTTGGAGAGGTTTTTGCCACAGGGCATGTGTGCTCACCAGACAGACAGACAGAGAAAGAGGCAGAAAGTGAGAAATCACCCCCCAGGGGGGGATGGCCACACCACAATCCCTTCTCCTCCATTCTCCTCTCGGGATCTTGCGCATGCACGCACACGCGCCCAGTGTGAGTTTTAAGCCACCGGGTCCAGGACGTGAACCACGGTAAACTACATGAGAGTCCAGTGACATAGCCATTATGCTAACTGCTGGTCTCTGTAGCAATTATTTTCATAGTGCCAAATTAACCCAGAACAGTAGTTTTCAATGCTTTCATTTGGTAACAGAAACTTTTTTCCCAAGCAAAAGGCTAAGTAGAATTCTATACTACATAAGAAAAAAGCAGATCTAATCTTGCTTAAGAAGAGACAGGGGCCTATAGTTTTTCTGCATAGATCCCCCTCAAGGCGCCCATTCCCTGTCCCTGGCAACAAATAGCAATGGTCCCTTGTGGCATTTCTAAGAACTATACAGTGTTAAGAAACACTAATCTGAATAATCAATGAATTTTCAAGAATAGAAAAGGACATTAAATTTTTTTAAAGTTTCAAATATCACTAAAACATAAAATTAAAGCTTACCCATTTCTACTGAAGACTCTTAGCCATGCTTTGAGGTTTGGTCCTAACAAACATAAACAAGGTACAGTAGTGAAAGTAGACAAAATAACCGCAAATAAAAATGTCTCCAACACCAACCTAGAAAAAAAGTTAATTTTTAAAAAGTATTAAACGTGCACATACACAAACACATAATCTATTATGTAGATTTAATGTAAAAATACTTTCTTATACTTTACTTTGAAATGTAACAAGTCTCATCAAGATGAGGGCTATAAATTTATTACTGAATACAATCTTTTTGTTTTTGGAGAGGTTTTTGCTATATGGTGCGTGTGCTAACTAGAGAGACAGAGAGACAGAAAGCAAGAATCATCCCCGGGGTGTGTGTTGGGGGGTTGTCACGCTGCAATCCCTTCTCCTCCATTCTCCTCTTGGGATCTTGGGCACACACACATGCCCATTATGAGTTTAAGCCACCAGATCCAGACTTGAACCAGAGTCAACTACATGGCAGTCCAACAACATAGCCATTACGCCAACTGTTGGTTTCTGAATGCAATCTTTTTTTTTTTTTTTTTGGGGGGTTTTGCTTAAA